GGTGATCCCCTTTGGCCTATGCAATGCTCCCGGGACGTTCCAGCACGCAATGAACCAGATCGTTTATGACTACTTAGAGAAGTTTATCGTCGTGAACCTGGACGATAGCCTTATCTTTAGTAGGACTGTAGAGGAGCATGTTGAGCATGTGGAAACAATGTTAGGGCTCCTAAGAGAGCACCAGCAGAAAGGTTAAGTTGGAGAAATGCGAATTTGGTCGCACCAAGATCTTATATTTGGGTAATGAGACTTTCGCGGATGGTTTGATCCTAAGGTGGCCAACATACGTGATTGGCCCAGACCTCAGTTTGTAACTGAGGTGAGGTCGCTTTTGGGGATGACAGGCTACTACCACCCATTTGTGAAAAATTACAGCACGATAGCCTTACCTCTAGCTAACCTCACGCGCCTTGACACCCATGGGAGTGGACTGAAGAGTGTGAGGCAGCCTTCAAGAAATTTAAGTATGCACTGAGACACTATGAAGTCCTCAAAACTTCCGGATCCTGAACAACCCTTTGTTGTGACCACAAATGCCAGCCAATACGATATAGGCGTGGTGCTTGTGCAGGAGGAGGGGAAAACGTTGAGGTCGATCGAGTACATGAGCAAAAAGATGTCACATGTGCAAAAAGATGTCATCTAAGAAATTAACTAAGTCCACACATGAGCGTCAGCTTTATGCCCTCTATAGAGTGCTGCTCCATTGGAGGCACTACCTCTTATGTAGATTCTATTATGTGAGATCTTACCATGAGACGCTGCGCTGGACTAAGACACAGCCTGTGCTCTCCCACGCACTGAAGAGGTGGATTGAAGTCATAGGCATGTATGACTTCAAGCTCGACCCTCTAAAGGGAGAGTACAACAAAGTGGTTGATGCACCATCGCGTAGGGCAGACTATCTTGGTGTGCTAGTGACCGAGTTTGGAATTTCCGACGTTGTAAATCGATCTATGGTGGAAGCCTATGGAGAGGACACGGTCATGCTCGAGATCATTCGCAAACTGGAAGCTAAAGACGAGGCTACTTCCGATGAGTTTATGCTGGTTGATGGCTTGCTGTTCCTTGAGAAAGCTGGAAATAAACGATTGTGTGTTTTGTATAAAGAGTCCTTAAGCAGTTTATTTTTAGGTGAGTGTCATGATGCAACCACACATTTTGGGTATAAAAAGCCAGCAACAAATTTAGTGCAAAAATTTTGGTGGCCCACAATGATGGATGATGCGACAACATATGTTGAGACTTGCCATGTTTGTCAACGTGACAAGCCAAGGATGCAGGCACCGGTTGGGCTTATCAAGCCCTTGCCTATCCCTATTGGACCTGGTTTGAGTGCATACATGGACTTCATGGATACTCTTGTGACCAGCAAGAGCGGTAAGAGACACATCTTCCTCATTGTGGACACGTTCAATAAGTACGCTAGACCTATCGCTATGCCCGAGACAGCTAGGACTGACCACGTCATCAAGTTATTCATGGACAACAAGGTATGTGACTTCGGTCTCCCCAAGCCTATTGTGAGCGACAAAGATGTGAGATTCACTAGCGAGCTCTGGCAAAATACAGCCCAGCAAGGGGACACCCAATTGCAAATGACATCAGGGAACCACCCTAAGTCAAATGGGCCGGCTGAACAAATGAATCGTGTTGTGCAGCACTTGCTTCGGCATTATATTAAGCCAAGTCAAGATGACTGGGATGAGAAGTTACCTCTCATCGCCAGCCTATACAATGATGTTGTGCACAACACTACTGGTAAGACCCCCAACCAGCTGCATCTTGGTTGGAACCCCAGATCTGCTCTTGACTTTCTATTACTTGAAAATCAGCCCACTACAGGACGTGGGTTTGCTGTAAAGTACAAACAGATGCTGCAGTAGGTGGTAAAACATATTAAGAATGCACAAGATGCCATGGTGACATCTGAGAACAAACACATACGACCATCTGCATTTCAGCCAGGTGACCGAGTCTAGGTAAAATCATTTGAATTGGGAAAGCACAAGATGCCATGGTGACATCTGAGAACAAACACATACGACCATCTGCATTTCAGCCAGGTGATCGAGTCTAGGTATAATCATTTGAGTTGGGCCAAGAGTTGGGAATTTTATGCAAACTGATGCCACAATACTTTGGGCTTTGGGAGATGTTGGACATAGTAGGAGATCAACCCGATGGACCATCATATGTGCTTCACATTCCTAGTCACCTCCGTACACGTTGTTTTCCATGCATCCAAATTGGCACCCTTCGCTGAAACTGAGCAGTTTCCCTCACGAAAATCTATGTTGTCCCCAACCATGGATGGACACGTGGACATTGACGACATTGTTGAGCATAAGCTGATGCATGTGCCCAAGCCTCCAGGCAGGGGACATCCTTTGAAACCACAGATGCGGTTTTTAGAGATCATACAACTCCTAGAGAAAATTGGTGGTTCACCAGAGAAGAGCTAATGAAGACTGCTCCCCAAAATAATTGCAAGCTATGAACGAAATTTGAAAGGGAAGCAACATGTTGTGTAACGACTTCTCAAAGGACTATCAAAGTAAAGGAGGGAGTGTGAGGGTTTATGCCTTTGCATAAGGCGCGCCGCCCTAAGTGAAGGCGGGCCCCCTGAATCTCAATGCGCCTTGAAATCATCAATTTTTGCAAATCTTGGTCGGCGCCAGACAGTTGTCACGCGCCAATTGGTTACAATCCGCCTTGCTCGTGCGAAGTCAAAATATTTGTGAGCCTTTCAGGCTCTTCCAACAATGTGGTCGAAGCGGGGAGCATTGCATGCTTGTGCCTGGGAGGTTAGGCATGCCTAACCAATTCGGTCCCGGGCAATTGTCTAAATCGGGCCTGGGCGCAAACACTTGGCCAGACTGAAGCCAATGGAAACTCGGTCTCTCGTGGGCGTAGCAAAGGCAAGCGTCCGCCTCTTTCCATATAGGAAAGGGCAGGGCGCATGGCTGCACATTTGGGCACTTGCACTTGCGGGCGGCAGCGCTACTGGAGCTTAGATTTGCGAGCTGCTTGCTGCGCTAGCGCGAGGTGCGGGCGCGCGCGAGCGTCGAGAGAATACAAGGCGCTGCCCTTAGCAGCGCCATTGCCCAACGTTCGTAGCCAAGCTGAGGCTTGGACGTGGTTAGTTGGTGGTGGTGGTCTTCGTGTATGGGAAGGAAGATGTGGGTGATGAAGACGAGGGTGAGAGAGAGAGAGAGATGAGGTTGATGATGTGAGGGCACGCACCCTACTCGGGGATGGTCTACAAGGTCAACATCTTCATGTATTGCGGTTGTTGCTGCTGACGTCAACGGGATGCATTGTCAATTTGTAGGCTGCTAGTAGCTGTCTCGTAGTCCGGCCGTTGAGCGCCAAGTAGAGGGAACGGCTCAGGATACATATGCTGGTGGTGGCGAGATTATGCTCTCATTGACATTCGAATTCGGAGCTTTGGTTCTCCGTTCGTGGAATATCAATGCATTTTTGCTTTCTAGACAGTGTCGGACTTTCTGGCTTTTAATGTAAAATTGCGTTCTGGAATTCTTTCATTTCGCTATATCTTATTTTCCTTGTAATTTGGTATCAAAGCTGGTTCGAGCCGCTCCGCCGGCTCCTTCACAATAGTTGTTTGGTGCTTTGCTGGATATGGTGGGATAGTGATACCGCTTGTGCATTGGGTAGTGACGGAGGCCTAGTGTCGCGCGGGCGCGCCAGGAAGGCTATGTGGTGACATAGGGTGGCAAGCAAGATGATGAGAGTTTGCCGACATTGCAATTTAAGCCGAGGTGGAACAGCATTGCATTGTGGGTTGTGCCGAGGCATCGACCGGTCATCATATGCACGTGAGGTTACTTGTGGGAAATTTATGGTTGGGGGTAGCATTATGAGGTACGTTGCTCCTTACCTTATCTTCCTCTTCGTTACTTCTTAGCGAGAGGAAGTGAGTTTTGTCTTGAGAGTCCTCTCATTGTGAGGTGTTGCGAGTGCTCAACCTTGAGAGTCAACATTCTTCCTGGGGAGCAAGCTGGTGGGAGACGGGCGTTGCCTCTGAAGGGCCCTGGACGAAGCACGCGGGTCACGGTCACCATGCCAACCCACTGGGACTAGTACACACATGATTTCCCCCTTGTCCTTTGTTCTGCTTGCTGCGCTGTGGAGGGAATGTGCACTGACCAGTCCTACGCGAGACGTCTACCAGACCGTCTATAAACTCTTTCTGGCAGGATTTGATATGAATACTGGCTTTGAGTGTCCTCCTGTCTGCGACGGTAAATAATTCCTCAGGACCTTGGGGGCTGTCTTTAAATTGCCTCTTGATCAGCCAGATCATCAGATGGAAGGCTCGTTGCATGCGAGGATAAATAACGGGCAGAACTGGCCATAAGCGATTTCTTGGGCACAAGGGTGGGCTGATTGCACACCTTCACACACGCTGCTGAACCAGAGCTTGAGGAGGTTGACATCAAGTGACTACCGAAGAGGGATACAGGGGGAGGAAAGATTCTACTAAACGGCTCGATTGTTTATTAATGTAAAATTCCAGTCTGCATGCACAACCAGCAAATAATTTCATTTTTATTTGTGACTAGTAAGTTCAACTTAGTTGTGACAAGAATTGCTAACAACTAACAGACAGCGGCAGATAGGTAGTAATCATTCCTTGCTGCATTGCAATCTGTTCCAGACCAGTCAAAATTAGGAATAAAATTGGACTACTTTCAAACAAAGCTGGACCAAACATTTATTTTATTTTATTTAAATCGGTTGGATACCATGTTGCAGAAGGTCCCAGTGAGGACTCTAATACAGATCGCAGGTCACGCATAGCTCATGAGTGGAGATGACAGTGAGGTTCAGAGACTAGACCAAGACGATAGGAGGCTTACCTTGAGACGTGGGTCACACATTGCTCATGAGTGGAGATGATAGTGAGGTTGAGAGACTAAACCAAGACGATAGGAGGCTTACCCTGAGACGTGCACTCAATAGGCCAACCGCTTTCCTAGTGTTAGAACACAGAGAGGAAAGGAGACTGCGGAGAGAAGTCGGAGAGAGGATGGCATTGCAGAGGGTTGGGGAAGCAGCAGCCAACGTCGAAAGGGCACTAGTAGCAACATTAGCAGCAGACGCTAGAGCCAACGTCGAGGCAGCCATGGCTACCGCCTTTACCATGTCACAGGCCTCATCTCAGGCCTCTTCGCCAAGTGTCAGTCAAGGTGTCGCCCATGTTTCCGTTAGTCAGGCTTCTAGTTTGCCGGTCAGCCATCTGCAACCCATGTAAGAGGAGGATTATGAGATCCAGTAAGCGGATGCTCTCCACATAGAGTTACAACGCCAGTTGTGGGAAGTACAGGGAAAGAGAGAGAGAGCTAGGATTAGAAAAGCTTGATTAGAGGCGAGGGGAGAGGAGTCATGCAAGTTCGAAGTTGACTCTGGATCCTGTAGGGTTGTGCCTTTGGAACTCCTTGTTGAGCGTAGCCAAAGTACAAGCTGTGCAGCAAGAGATGTTAACTGCACTGATAGCTGGTCAGAACCAGATTCTGACCACATTGCGGGTGCCTCGACCACCAGTGAGGCAACCACAGTTTGTTGTAGCTCCCCCTACGGTTGCAGGTCCAGTGATGACGCTGCCGCCGACAGGGCAACCTTTTCTGTTGAGTTTGGGGTACCCCCATCAGGGGGACCAGTAGTTGGTAGTAGTGGGCAGATTGCTGTACAACCTTTTTCATTTCCCCAACTGGTGGTTGCCGATAGAGGGCAGCCACAAGTGCAGCAGCCCTTGCAATAGAGTCAGCCGCAGCAGCAGCTACAGCAGCAGCAGCTACAGCAGCAGCAGCAAGTGTCGCTGCAGCAACAAGTGCCGCCGCAGCGACCTGTTCCAGCAGCTACAGCAGCAGCAGCAAGTGTCGCTGCAGCAACAAGTGTCGCCGCAGCGACCTGTTCCATTGGTTACTCAACCTGTGATGCAGACACAGGGTGTTGTTCAGCCTATGCAGTGGACCCCCAAAATACCCTTGTTGAGTCCTAAACCCTTCTCTGGCGACAAGACAAAGGACGAGAACTTGGATACTTGGGTGAGGACTGTCCCTACTTATGTGAGGCACAAGCTCACTAGGACAGAGGAGGTGCATCCTTTTTAAAAGGATCTGAAGCCAGGTGGTTGAATGGGTTAGTACAGCAACAGGGCTACTGTTAGAATTTCGATGGCTGGGCACGGGCCAAATCATTGGAGGAGTTTGTACGGTTAGTTTACATCAGGTGGCGTGATCCCCAAGGGGCTCGGAAGGCCACCGATTCGTTGGCTTGTCTGGGATCGAAGACGTATCTAACTGTTTGCGAGGTAACAGATGCCGCAGAGCAGCTGATCGTTGTCCATGGTGTGTGGTACGAATCGCAGGTCCTCTTGATAACTTATTTGCGATATTTGCCTACAAATGTCAAAAACAAGTTGGTTGATGAGGCCTCCATCGATGTACATGACTTTGCTTCCTTCGGCAAGAAGGCCTTAGACATTGAGGCTAGGCTTGGGAGTGCCCAGCAGGGATCGATTGATGGGAGAAAGAACAAGCTCCCTCAAGACTGGAGGAAGAAAGGCAATCTTACGTTCGTTGACCATGATGGTCAAGCGACTGAGATTGATGACTTCACTGACCTTGGGGAAGAAACAGAGATAGATGGTAGTGTAGAGACCTTAACTAGTGGAGTAGTCACCCCTATTAGGGAAAAGGCTAAGGGGGCCGAGAAACAAAATGTAGGCTGGCCCAAGGGTCAAAGTGACAAGGACCACCCATATGGGTGAAGCTTGGTCTACAGTACGAGGTGTGGCGAGACCGTGTTGCGCTAGGCGCTCGCCTGAACTGTGGCCAGTATGGGCACACGCTGGCTAAGTGCAAGAGGACGCGCTCGCATGGGGAGAGAGAGAGAGTGACACAACGGAGGGAGAGAAATAAAGTCGAAGAGAGAGAGAGAGAGAGAGAGAGAGAGAGAGAGAGAGAGAGAGAGAGAGAGAGAGAGAGAGAGAGACCCCATTCTAACGAACTACGAGCTTCGCCTCCCACACGATGACATGTGGTATCCGCTCCGAACTGAAAAGTAAGACCACAGGAGGGTGAGGAGGAGACGGGGCACGAGAGGAAAAGGTCTCTCTCTCTCTCTCTCTCTCTCTCTCTCTCTCTCTCTCTCTCTCTCTCTCTCTCTCTCTCTCTCTCTCTCTCTCTCTCTGTATTAGGTACTGACCTGCGAAAGGTGGCACGTTGACGCAGGTGCCGACATGCTGAAGACGAAGCTGGAGTGATGGCGTCACAGGTAAGTCCCCCTAGCCTCCACCACTGCCTCCCTCTCCTCTCAGCACTAACCTAGATGCTATTAGCGCCCAGCGCTGGTAGACCACAACTCCTATCGTCGACTACGAATATGCTGATGTCGTCTGAAGAGTGCCTCTAGTCAATGCCCTGGACTGAGGCTGGACCCAATTATATATAGCGTTGGGTCGACCTCAACTCTTGTCCAAAATGAATCTCTGGCGGCCAAATTGAGGCCGGGCGTCAAGGGCCAAGCGCCTAACTGAAACGGCGTGGCCTCTGTTGAACGTCGATGGTCTGGCGCCAAAAATAGCACCAGGTTCTATACCCTAAACCTGGCCTACAGGGCCTCTAACTGGTGCTGGTCCAAAATGGATTTTGGCCTATCGGACCTGAAACGGCTTCGGTGCAACTCAGGCCTAACCTGGCCTACAAACCCTACAGGCCCCAATGTGGGCTGAAACGACAAAGACCCTAACCTCTACTAACCCCTAGCCTACCTGGTCGGGCCCTACTGGGCCCATGTGGAACTAAGTATGCCCCCCCCCTCCTTGAAAGACCGAGCTTACCTGTGAGGGGGAAGCTGTCTAGCGGAGGGAGGGACTGAAGTCCGGGTGGGAGGGGTAGGCTTTGAAGCTTCCGTAGCTCGTCATCGTCGCTCATAGTCCGCGTAGATAAGTGGTGGGGAGGCTTGCAAGTCTACTCGTGAAATCCATCGTGTCGTCGTGGTCGCTCCACTTGAATGTAACCTTGTACCGCATCCGCTTGTTGCCGTACTTGCGATGTGTGATGATGTGATGAACTTCCTGATGACCATCCAATGGAGGGTCCTGCGATCGTCGGTCCGGGAAGTCATCGTCCTTGGCTGGTGTGTACGTGGCCAGCTTCAAGGCATGGAAGACCGGGTGGACAAGTAGATGCGATGGGATTTCGATTACAAAGGAGGGGGCGTCGGGCTCATTGCCTGCGGCTGAAGTGACGGTCCATGGTCCAAACCACTTGGGATGTAGCTTGCACGACACGTCTTGTTCAAGCACAAACTCCTCCGCGGAGACCCACGCCGGTTGGCTTGCAGTTGCATGAGGACTTGAGCCTTTTGCATGTTGGCGCGGGCTTTAGTCCTGATACTTCTGAACGGAGGCGGGAGAACAAGCGGCGTCAATGTCGACAGTCCATGGGAATAGAAAATCAACAAAGATACGGCCTTCCGGCCACCGTGGTGCAACTCGAATAGAGTCATGCCGATCGTTGGATGCAACGAAGTGTTGTAGGCGAACTCGATGTCGCGATCAACCCAATCCCTCTGATCCGGACGGATGAGCGTTCGAAGCATCATTTGAGCGGTTTGATTTGCTCGCTCCGTTTGCTGGTCCGTTTGTGGATGCCGAGCCGAACTCGGTTTCATCTTGGTGTCGAACTCCTTCATGAGAGAAGTCGAAAAATGCCGACATAAAACGAGTGTTGTTGTCACTGATGGTGTCTTCCGAAACGCCGTGGCTGCAAATCCAGTCGGTGTGCAAGAGTCGCGCAAGCTCGGGAGTCGTGGCGTAGTACTTGCAGGGAAGAAATGGCGCTTACTTGCTCAAACCGTTGATGATCGTGAGAATGTTGTCATTCTCGAAGCAGTGGCGGGGGAGCAGGCCGGTGATGTCCATAGCAATGGAGAGGCCGAGTTCCGCGGGATAGGCAACGAGCGTAAGTCGTTGTAGGGATTGCAATTGTGGGGCTTGCTTCGTCGGCAAACTTCGCAAGAGTCACAATACCGAGTGGCGTCGGTAATGAAGTCGGGCCACCGAAATCGTTGTCGAAGTCTTGCGATCGTACGATTGACTTCGAAGTGGCCAGAGAGTCGCGAGTCGTGGTACTCACCGAGAAGGCGACTTTGTAAGCGATAGTCTTGTGGGACGCATAGTAAGTCCTTGCCTTGTGAATGAAGAAGCAAGTAGCCGTCGACGACGCGATAGTGGTTGGACAACGGGTGATACGGGGATAGTTGCTCGTAGAGCATGGCGTATTCCGGATTGGAGTTGTATGCTCGCACAAAATGCTGATGTAGGACGTCGTTGAATTTGAACGAGTGGTGAGTCAATGCACAAAGATCCGCACTTCACGAGAGAGTATCCCGGACTTGGTTGGAGAGACCCGAAATGTGTTTCGGTGGGAAGTCGAATTGGTCGATGAAGTACCTCCACCGAGCGATCGTGCTACTCACCGTGTCTTGTGTATTGTAGCAGGTCAATGGGTTGTTGTTCGTAGCCCAAGTGAACCTATGACGCTCGAGAAGGACATGTCGCCAATGCTCGAGTACCGTGACGAAAGCGAGCAACTTCTTCTTCTTAGCATCATCAACCGAGTTGATGGGAGGCACCTTTTGGCTAAAGTACTCAATCGGGTGCCAATCTACTTTGTCGTGTTGTTCCAAACTGCACCCATGTTGTAGCTGGAAGCGTCCGTCGTCACTCGCGTAGATAAGGTGGGGTCGTAGATACTCAAGATGGGAGCGAGGAGCAACGTCGTCTTCAATCTTTGGAACGAACATCGGTGAATTGGAAGTGCACCTTTGGAGATTGCAATTTTGACAAGGGTGCAACAATCCGTGCGTATCCGCCGATGAAGCTTTGGTAGTACCCGACCAATTTCATAAAAGAGCAAACTTTTGTGGTGTTGGTCGGTTCCGGCCAATCTTAGATGGCCTTGATCTTGTCCGCGAGTGGACGAATGCCTTGCGGCGTCACAAAGTGGCCCAAGTACTCGAGCTTTTGTTGTGTGAATTTGCATTTGGGCCGGTTGGCCTTGTACTTGGTCGTACGTAGCCTGTCCAAAACGGCGCGTAGATGCGCAATGTGCTCGTCCAAGTTCAGGCTATACACCAAGATTTGATGAGGTAGATAAGCACGAACCGGTCCACCATGTGACGAAACTCCATCGTCATTGCCGCTTGGAAGGTGGCCGTGGCATTCGTGAGGCCAAATAGCATCACGACCCGCTCGAAGTGTGCTTAGCTTTTCTTGGATGCGGTTTTGCAGCGATCTCTTGGATGGATCTCAAGCTGGTGGTAACCTGCCTTGAGGTCCAACTTGGAGAAGTACTTGGCGCCGCCCAAACATTCGAGGAGATCATCAATGCGTGGGAGCAGGCCGGCATTCTTAACAGTTTGAGCGTTAAGCTTGCGATAGTCAATGCTTAAGCGCAACTCCTTGTTCTTCTTCCTGATCAAGAGAATGGGTGCACCGTAGGGCGAGCAGCTATGGCGAACCCAGCCCTTGGCAATGAGGTTAGCGAGCTGCGATCGTAGCACTTCTAGTTCCTCCTGGTTCATGCGGTAAAGACATCTGCTCGTAGGTACGGCCCCGTCTTGGAGAATGATCTCGTGACGAATGGGCCGATCCAGTACGATTCTGGCGGGGGCTTCAAAGACGTCGCCATAGGAGTCAGGAAGCTCTATAATGAGTGGATCCGGTGGCGCTTTCGTCGGCCGTTGGGAGGAGGGAGGGCGTGCAAGAAGCAAATGCTCATTTCCTCGATGTCGTGTCGTGCGATGGAGCTGCGAATGCTTGCCGCGGAGACCATGTGGCAACCAATCGAAGGGTGAGGTCGAGGCACCGTACACGGGACAAGTACCCCGTTCTGGTCACGAACTTGAACGGTGCAGCGGTAGAAGTTCACCAGGTGGTCCTCGCTCCGCAGCCCTGACATACCCAAAATCATGTCAAACTGGGTGTCCAAAATGTCGAAGGACACGGCCTGGTGTGAGTGTCGGGCGAAGTACATTGGGATGGAGTCAAAGCATCAGTCAATGGACTTCTGCGTATGACCGCTGGTCAACGTGACTTGCATGGGCTGCGTCTTCCTCCGAACGCGCGCCCTAAGGCCGGCGCGCCCCATGAAGCCTTGGCTGATATAGTTGCAAGTAGCTCCACAATCGATCAAGGCGCTGCAGGTCGTCTTCCCGATCTGAATGCCGATGTAGAGTAACGGCGCGTTGATGTCATCGTACCGTTGCGTGGCGTACTCGCGGTCGATCTTCACAATGTACTCGCGAAGGTCAACAACCGCTTCTTCGTCTTCCCTCAATTGAGTTGGTACTGCAGCGTGCAAGTAATTGTGTAGTTCTGCTTGCAGGGTGTTGCAATGCGGCTTTGGCAAGGAACCGGATGGGGGAAGAGGCAATCACTGGAAGTCTTCCGTCGTCAATGGGTCAAGGTCCTCAAGTCTAGACCACACCGACGAGTCCCCAAAAGATCATAGTGTCGGCGAGGAAGCTGGTTCGCTTGGCGATGGTGATGAAGTCGCGCATGCATACCCCTCTTGCACGTGGAGAGGTTGGTCCAATGGAGGGACCAGCTGGACAGCATAGTCTTCGTAATTCTCTCGAAGGCTTGCAACATCCGCGTGCTCCTTGAACGTGGAGGAGGTTGCTAGCAAGGCAACCATGTCTGACGGAATGGGAAGTGGAGTTGCCTCCCTTCCCGCAGAGCTCAGTTTCCCGAGCTTTGCCATGGGCGGGCGTCGTCTTTGCCGTTGTCGGGGCATTGCGTCCTCTTGTGCTTGGTGCTATTGCACCAATAGCAGCAGCCCCACTTCTGGCGGAGCTTGTATTGCTCCTCCATGAGGCCGAACTTCACCCATGGCAGCAACTGTCCGACTTCTGTCGTTGACGCGGGTTTCACCTTCTTCTTCTTGTTGTTGCGTCGTGGCGAAAGGGCGTTGACTTGGTCTCCTTCACTAGTCTCGAGAGTCAACACCTCGTCATTATCTTGTCCATTTGATTGGACGACAACGACTTGCTGCCTCCGCAGGCCTTTGCCCTTCTCCACAAAATTCAGTTGGGTTTGCTGCTCGTTGGTGGCCCATCAATTTGATTAGATTACCTCGCGCGCCTTGTCCACGATCTGGTCAAATTCTGTGTGCTGGCTGCACTCGTTAAGGGCTGTGCTCAATGCGTCGATTGACCGCTGGAAAAATTCGCAACGAAGATGCACGAGTGGTCTGTCAAGATTCGGGATCGTCACGATTTTCTGCCACTCGGTTAGCCATTCGCGCGTTGGCTGGCTGCCTTCGTTCATGGTGAAGATCCGGTTCACTCCTTTGCCTTGAGCGTCGCCGACGATGAAGCGCTTCCACCACTTCTTGGTGACGACCTCCTAAGTCAACTTGGCTGGCACTGGCACTGGTGCAACCTTGACGCCTTCGGTTTGCGCAAAGTGGCTGAGCCACATTTGGCTGGCACTGGTGCTGCAAAGGTAAAGTGCGGACACCTTCGATGCTAGCGGGACTTCGTGAATGGAAAGCTCATTGGTGAAACCCTGCCACCAAGTTTTGTGGTAGTCATCGAACTTTTCGATGCTGAATTTCGGCATCTTGTATTGCTTGGGCGTAACGCTGTTGCAGGTCTCGGTCGGTAGCTGATGCAGGTCAGCTTGCACTGCTGTCATTTGTTGGCTGATGGTCGTAGGCTGTTGGAAGCTGTTCAGATTGCCGATTATTGCTACCACTTGATCCACAAGTCCCTCAAGTTGCGGGTCAATGGATCAATGATTGAGGATGCCATGTGTGTATGCAGCACGTCATCTCTCTCCAATTCCTCAAGTCGGGCGTGGAAACTCCTGTGAGTCTCCTCGTAGCTTGAGATGATACGTGCCTGCCGAGCCAACTCCACTTGTTGCCAGTTGCAAGTGAGGAGTTGGTGCATGAGGTTGGAGAGTGCTGCCTTGGTCCATTCCTCCACGGTCTGTTCCGTGCGCGTTTCCGTCGGAACAAAGGTCCATTCTTGGAGTGTTGCGGTATGAACCGCTTCTTGCTGCATTAGGACAGATGCGGCATCTCTGCGAAGCTGGTTATGGTTGGCAGCTGCTGCGGCTTGCTGTTGGCGCCGTTGCTCGGCGTCGCGTGCAATGGCGTTGAGACGTGCAGCTTCAGCTGCAGCTTCACGTTGCTGTTCCTCTTGTACGTGCTGCGTGTAGGTGGACAGGCTGGCCAAGAAGGCTGTCATTGTCTCACCTGGTTGCCGAGCTGGCGCAACGTTGAGGGCTCCTGCAGTTGTCGCAGTGGGATTCACCTGGTGGGCCTGCAGGACCAGGGGGTTCTCAATGCACACCTTCCGTGGACCGCCGGATGCGGCGTTGTCTTCCATGGGGTTGCCTTGGGCCTCCATTGCAGAGGGGAGGGGAAGGGGTAGCTGATGATCTGCTGCGGCTCCCTGCCCTTCACGTTCTGCAATGTGTCTGCCGCATCAGAGCATAAGCCGCAGTTAGCTGCACTGCGTTTACGGATTTGGCCCTGTTGACGGGGCACTGCTGATGTAATGCTACTGTCTTGGCACCTGCTAACGTGGCACTGCTGATGTGGCCCGGGGTAGTATGAAGAGGAGTGAATGGGAAACACGCAGGCGGGCAAACGACAGAACTGCAATGTCCAATCCTGGGTCCTAATCAACAGAAAAAAATGAAAAAGAAAGAGATGTTTTTTTCTTTTTCTTTTTTGTAATCTGCTGAGTGGGGATCCGGGCCGCCCGGGTGACCGGCAGGGGCCCGGGGGAGGTCCCGGGTGGCCTGGCCGGGCAGGGCACCCAGTTGGGGGCCGGGCCCCCCAAGCGCACTCACCTGTCGGGGGATTTCGTACCCCCTTTGTGCGTGTGTGTGTGTGTGTGTGTGTGTGTGTGTGTGTGTGTGTGAGAGAGAGAGAGAGAGAGAGAGAGAGAGAGAGAGGGAGAGAGAGAGAGAGAGATGTGTTCGAATCATACTTGCAGCGCATCTCATGCACGGGGTGCCGCACACACAGGCACGCACAGGTGATGCGCGCATTAAAAAAATAGAAAAACAAAAATGTCCTAGTTGTGTCCAGCCTCTTTTCGGAAGGATCCCTACAGCATATTAGCCAGAACCCGACGTCATGCAGAGATACACTTCAAACTTGTACTCCTTGAGGGTGGGCAGAGAATATATAGTCTGGATTCGAATTCAGGTCTGTGCATGTCGGTTATGGGTCACCATTTCTCTGTTTTCTCGCTTTTCTTTTCTTTTCTCGTTTTTCTTTTCCTAGGAATACGTGCAGTGGCGCTAAGGGCCTTTACTCACCAAATGCACAAAAGACAAAACATATGGTGGTGTATTATTCCACGTTCTGCAGAAGATTCATTCTAATTTTGCACATTTCGTGAGTAGTGCAGCCAAGCCCTAGGAGTCACGTGCAGAGACCAACAGGTCCTAGCTACGTGAGCAACCCATAACTGCTGAAACACAGACCTGAATTCGAATCTTGAGTATATATTCGGCCAGCTCGTGCTCTATTTCATATTCACTGTCTGCCTCGATTTTGGTGGGGGGGTCTGCGCCACATGTCTGCGAGGACCCTTCACATAGCCTACATGGGCCGTCTGAGCCGTGTTAAGTGGATCCGTTCTCTCTCTCTCTCTCTCTCTCTCTCTCTCTCTCTCTCTCTCTCTCTCTCTCTCTCTCTCTCTCGCGCGCGCGCGCGCGCGCGCGTGTGCGTGCCCCCTTGTACAGACCCCCCCAAGCCAGACCAACCCCCGCATCCCCCCACCAAAACCAAAATTTTATTGCAGATTCGGGGTCCTCTCGCCGAGCGCAGAACGACCCCGGTTTCAAAATAAAAATAAAAAAATTCTGGGCGGTTCTTTTTCCTGCCCGATTTACCCGGGCGGCGCCCCCTGTCCCAACCGGCTGGGCCCAGCCCGGCAGGGCAGGCCCGGCCGGGCGGTGTCCTCACTCAGGTAATCTGTCAATTGGTATCAGTGGGGCGTGCATCAGATAACGAGCAAGAAAAAGAAAGATTTCTTTTTTTTTATCTGTCGATTGGTATTAGTGGGGCATCTATCAGATAACGAGCCGTTGCCAAAAAGAAACAAACGAATTTCTGTCATTTTCGAAAATGACAAAAATTTGCGGCAATGATGGCCTAATTGCTAGAAACCATCCTAAACCTAATTAGGCACAGAATCATGAATTTCGAAAAAATAATTTGGTAGTCCAGATTGGGAGAAATCACGAAATTCTTGAAAGTACAAGAAAAGGAAATCGCAAGGTAATTCCAAAATGAAAATAAGTTATGAAAGGCCAATTCGTGATTTACAATAAGAAATTATGAACAAAAACCTAATGCTGGTGCGTTTTTATCGAGAAAACAGAAACCTGTGCTAACCCTAAGTTGCCAACTTCGTATGTTCAATATTGCAGAATTTCTGAAAATTTTCAAATTCCATGTTTCGTAGAAGTCGTGCATTAGCAGAATTCCGGAATTTTCGGGATTCCGAAACTTGCGGAAGTCCCGAATTTGTGGAATTTCGGAAATCGTGGAATTTCAGATTTCGCGGAATGCCAAAATATCGGGATTTCGAAAATCGTGGAATTCGGGTGCTCGCGGAATGCCGAAAGTTTCGATCTTTCGAAAGTACCAACTTGAAAGGAGAACAACAAGATGTTTTTTTTTTTTTGGCAGGACTTAATCCATTAATTAGTCGCCAATCTTGATTAGGGTTAATTAGCGATTGCTTATCGCGGAGCAGCGCTAAGTAGTGATTAGCGATATCCGGGATTAGCGCTAATTTGCGCTAATCAAGATAGCAACTTGGAAAAAAATTCAGAAATTTGATCAATTTCCCCTAAGTAATCAATCAATCGATCAATCAATCAAGTTGGTTCCTTGATTGGGCAGATCCTCTTTCGAGAGGTCTGCTCCGATACCAAATTGTCGCATACCAATATGGTGCAGACCAGAACCAAGAACCGACCTCTCCCAGATAGAGCAAGATAGCACCAGCGGAAGATTGGAATACCAATCATCACACCCAATCAATGTCGAAATGCAGACTGGACATACATCATCATCATCACATGGTGGGAGTGGCCTGGCGCCACACACAGGGACGAAGGTGCCAGGCACAGACCATACACGGACGAGGAGAAGGGAGGAGAGACGAAGAAGTGGGGGGAGGAGATGAGAATGTCGTCAACCCAAATGTCGCCCACAATGTCTCTGTCCAAATGTCAAGTCTGAATCCAAAAATGTCACAAAATCCCAATCTCACAAAT